AACAAAAAGGATCTTCTATCTATAACAAATTCCAATCAATCAAACTTCTAAGTTATTTGTTATGTATAGACAAAATTTTAAGTATGTGAAAAAAATTTAAAAATTCCTTTTTCCTTCTTTTTTTGCAAACCGTCTTCTGGACTGTTGTTCGAAAACTGACAACACATACAGTCGAACCTCCATATAACGAGCCCCTATTTTGTGAAATTTTTTCTGGAATCAAGAATGTTTTACTATTTTCTTCATAAAATAACCTCCAAATAGCGAAGGACATTTTCTATTTAACGACTATGGTGATCACTTAATTTAACTGGTTTTACCATGTGGCTAACTCGCCTACTATAATAAAATGATCGTAATTTTTCAAACAGAAAACTTAAATAAAATCAACAGGTTTTATCAGTAATTAAATTTAAGGTAGCGCAGACTTATAAAATAATTTCTGGTTGTACATGGCTGTTTAATATTACTTGAAGGCTTAATATTAGATAAAAGTATTAAAAAAGTTCATTAATTTTAACATAAAATTATTTTTTAAAATTGAAAATGCAGAGTATTCCTGGACAATGTTTTTCTTTCTGGTTTCACTTGGAGGTTTCTTTTTGATGGATAAAATAAATAGATACATGATAATTACTATTATTAAATATTAACAAATTTATTAATAATTTATAGTATTTTGAATTTAAAAGCTGTTTCATGTGGTTTCTAAAGTATATTAAAAGATGAACCACTATACAACGAATTTTCCATATTAAGAACTTTTTTTCGGGATTTAATGACTTCGTTAAATATAGAGGTCTGAGTATGCATATAATACACTAGTCGTTACCCACCCGCTTCACTGGGTATTTAAAGATGTTGCATAAATGTATACTGTTTACATATATATGAATTATTGATATATAGCATTAAGAATTCGATTGTATTGAAAAATAAATTTATAACTGTAACTCTCGCCTCTTGATATAAAAAGGACATAAATTAAAATATCTAATTTCTATTGATATCTAAAATAGAAGTAGAAAGATTTTTTGCGCTCACTTAACCTAATAATCAAGTGGATTCCCACCCAAGCAACTTTCAGTGGGTCTCTACTCCATAAAATAAGCATGCATGATAAATTTCAAGTCTAAATCTAACAGAACAAAACGGAATTTTTATCATCAAGACCTCGTCGAGAGCATTCTTAGTGGATCCCATTTCAACAAAAGAAGCATGCAAACCAAATTTTATTATTATATTCTTAGCAGTTCGAAAACGGGAATTTTGTCTATCAATACGCCCCAATAATTCTCCCCGCTCCCCCTGGAGTTGATTTTCGTAAAATCCATTCTTAGTGGAACTCTGTACAACTAAAGAAACATGCTCAACAAATTTCAAGTAAATGGGTTAAATTCAAAAACAGGAATTTTTCTATAACACGCCTTAATCCCTCGCAACCCCACTCCTTTGGGGGTCCGTTTTTGCAAAACTCTTTCTAAAAGGAACTCTATTCCATGAACGGAACATACCTTCTAATTTTCAAGCAGGTGGGTCTAGTAGTTGAAAAGCGAAAATATTGATCTATTACGCTCTTAATTCCCCTCAGTGACCCTTGGGGATCAATTTTCCCCAAACTATTTTGTAGCGGATCTCTACGCTATGAAAGGAATCCGCTTATATATACCAAATTTTAAGACTGTACGTCTAATAGTTTAAAAATGTAAATAATTATCTATGACACCCCTTAAGCCTCCGTAACGCCACTTAGGAAACGATTTTCACAAAACCCATCTTATAGCGGATATCTAGTCAATGAATGAAATCTGCTTACTCAATTTCAAGATTTTACGTCTAATAGTTTAAAAAAGGAGTTAATTGCCTATAACGTCCCTTAATTCTCCACAACGCCACTTGGGGGTCGATTTTCACAAAATCCATTTTGTAGTGGCTCTGCACTCTATGAAAAAAAAATCCAAAAAAAGACTGTACGTCTAATAGTTTAAAAATGGAAATAATTATCTATAACGCCCCTTAAGCCCCACAACGTCACTCAGGAAACGATTTTCACAAAAACCCATCTTATAGCGGATCTGTACTCTATGAAAGGAATCTGCTTATCAAAATTCAAGACTGCACGTCTAATAGTTTAAAAATGGAAATAATTATCTATAACGCCCCTTAAGGCAAGGCCACTATGGAAGCAATTTTCACAAAACCTATCTTATAGCGGATCTCTACTCAATGAATGGAATCTGCTTACTTAATTTCAAGATTTTACGTCTAACAGTTTAAAAAAGAAGTTAATTGCCTATAACGCCCCTTAATTCTCCACAACGCCACTTGGGGGTCAATTTTAACAAAACTCATTTTGTAGTGGATCTGTACTTTATGAAAGGAATCCGTTTACCAAGTTTCAAGACTGTACGTCTAATAGTTTAATGGAAAAAATTATGCACAACGCCCTCAATGCCCCTGGAGGTCGATTTTCGTAAATATCATTATGTAGGGAATCTCTACTTTATGAAAGAAATCTGTGTACCAAGTTTCAAGATTGTACGTCTAATAGTTTAATAATGGAACTAATTATCTATAACGCCCCTTGGGGTTCGATCTTTGTAAAATCCGTTCTTAGCTGATGTCTACTCCATGAAGGGAACCTACCTACCAAATTTCAAATCTGTAGGTTTAATTGTTCCGGAGATATCGTGATTAGTCAGTGAGTGAGAGTGAGTCGCTTTTCTCCTTTATATATATATAGATGTAATAAAATATTCTTAAATATATATATTTAAGAATATTTTTCAATTTTAACTCAAATATATATACCAACAGAACGCTTAAATTTTTTTGAGTAGTTCATTTTTAGATTTTACTGATGAGATGTGATTAAAGGAATTGGGATGAATATATGGATTGATTTTAAATGTTTTTTTTTATTCTAGAAATAACAAATAACTTGAGAAAACCTTTTAATATAGTAAAAACAAATTACTTTCAATCACTTTAAAATAGTTGAAACTTTTTAGGAAGCAATTTAAATTATTCTTTTCTTATTACAAATCAAGAAATAATACTGAAAAAAAATCACTGTTTTCTACTATTTTTAAGAGTATCGGCGAAAACCGGAACTATTTTACCTAAGTCTTTATTATCATTAATTCTGATAATGTGTCTTTCGTCTAAATCCTCACCTATCTTATCTAAATTTTTAGTATCATTAAAAATAAACCATTTTTCTGAAAATGTATTGGTGAAATCCTCAACTATCAACTCAGTTTTTATAATCATTAACACCTTACTGGCTTACCCGTACACCGTACGGGCTACCGAAAGCTGGCCACAACCGGTTTGCCCGTATAACGTACTGGCACTGATATTTTCTTCTTTCTATCTTTGATTTGCACACATTTTTAATTTTTATAATGAGATTATTAGACGCAGTTTGTCCATGGTATTGAAATACTTCTCATTCTGGATTTCCTTTGTGGTGAAGATGGGGATTTTTTTTTATTGAAGGCAAGAATTTAGATTCTTGAAAATATTCGATAAGGAACAGGGATTGGTAAGGCAATGCGCAATTTGTTGCTTGAGAAGAAATGGAAAGATAATCTATTAAAGCCCATATTATCTCTGTCCCCATTGCAATGTAAGACTTAGAATTACACCATGCTTCAAATTGTGTGTGCATATTTATATGCACGCACACACACAAAATCCTCAACTTTTTGAAAGAAGGTGCGAACATGAATTTTTTCTTGTAAGTGTGAGAGAATTCTTTTAAGATATGTGAAACATTCTTCATAGCATATTTATAAAAAACGAACATTTAGGTTTTTTTTAGTTCCACAATTTTAAAGTAAGAAATAGTGTAAAAACTTTAAAATTGAAAATTAAAATTCTTCCATTTTCGCATTCTATTATGTGTTATGCTTAGCTGTATGCACACACACACACACACAAAACATACCTTTTGTGGAACATTTTAAGCAATAAAATTGACCTGATTGGCCCAGTAGTTAAAAATCAATCATCTTTCTGAGAATGTATCAGCGAAATCCTCAATTATCTTATCAAAGTTTTTGGTATCATAAAAAGTAAATCATCTCAAAAAATGTTCATTTATAAAATCTTAACGCAATACAAACTTCTTTATTTAGCGATGAGTAAAATAGCACTCATACCACTGACAGCTTTACCTATTTATAATAGAAACAAGAGGTATACCAAAAGAAAAAAAAAGTCTGAATAATTTTTTTCCTCTCAATTACTTAAAGTTCCGGGTTCTTACGTTATCACTTAAACGTATCTTTAGCATCGTAATAGCTGTGTAAAATACGTCCCAGCCTTTTTTCAGAGCACCGAGTAGGGCGTATTGGGGTAATTGAGGCTGATACTCACTTAAGAAGCCAAGCCCATAGGATGAAAAGAAATTTTCCCTATTGTTTTTCTCATGCACCAAAAAAAAAAATCTTTTTTTTACTCTTGTTTAGAAAGTGAATATGAACAGATGGGTGAAGCATGGTTTCCGGATATTTTCATCAATTTTACGTGAGAAATTCTTGTAGGAAATAATGACATTCGTATAATATAATTAGGTATACTTATGATAAGAATGCTTCAAGTTTGCTTGAAACTAAACAGGTATATATATTTAGTAGTTACATGATTATAAGAACAATGTTTTTATTTAACAGACTAATGAAAGAGAGAATATTATATAGTATTGCGCATTTCTAACCCAAACAAGCAATATAATTTTTTTTAAAGTTCATTCCTACTTAGTTTTCAGTTACTTTTTTTAAAATTATTACAGTTTATATAATTATATATATACATGGGACAGAATCACACTATTAAGTGACAAAATAGAAAGCGATTTTCCGCGCAATTTTCCATTTCCTTTTCTATATAGGGTAGTGGACTACTATATTTGTTTTTGTTCACCTTTTTTCATTCATTAAATTTAATTATTCCAATAAAATAGCATATTAAAAAGAAATCACATTCTCAGAAATTGGGCCATCCCTAATGGGATTCGGACCCACGACTTTTGGATTAGAAGTCCAACACGCTATCTATTGCGCTACAGGGTCACAACGAGTGATTTTCCATTTTTATGTATGGTGTTGTACTGTTATTTTTGTTTTTATTATTTATTCACATTAATTAAAAGGAATTAATGAATTAATATTTGAAAAAACGGTATTAACATCAAGGGTCATCCACTACAAGTTTAAAAAATGTTTTTGAACTTGAGTGGATGAATAAAAAGTATTTTATTAAAGAATGGAAATTTGAACAAGATATATATATATATATATATATATATATATATATATATATATATATATATAGTGAGAGTGTGAACTAATAGTAGGAATTGAAAAATAAGGTCAAAATTCAAGAATGTGCATTATACACAGGATGCAAAGATGAAAGGTTTAAAATCAAATTATGAGTATAAGAAATTAGATATATCTAAATACTGTGTTTATTTAAAAGAAATGGCATACCTTATGAACTTTCATCATTGGATAACATGAAAAGTTCATCATAGTCACTTTTTATTATATCTGCACACACACACACACACACACACACACACACACACACACACACACACACACACACACACACACACACACACACACACACACACACACACACACACACACACACACACACACACACACACACACACACACACACACACACACACACACACACACACACACACACACACACACACACACACACACACACACACACACACACACACACACACACACACACACACACACACACACACACACACACACACACACTCTCTCGTTTTCAATTTCATATTTTCACCATTACTATTACCATAATACACAAATAATCCTCTTCCGCTTTACCTAGATCAGAGGTCACTAACCTTTAGAGCTTCGTAGACCACTAAATTTATAATTTTGTACTTGATGGATCACTTTATATTATTAACCACTGTATGGCGGACCACTATTACTGTAATGTCACTTATTTTTACGTCTCTATTTACTTTTCCATATCATTGAAAAAATAAGCCATAAGCGACCTCCACTGGCACCCGATTCATCTAATTTTCATCATTGAAAAGAAGCTTCACAAAAAGCTAGAAAACGCTAGTAATGCAAAGCAATACCGACAAACTATTGTGCCTCCAATTTGCGACAATGGCCAATTCTTACTTTCAAATGCAGACAGAAAAACCTGCAAAAGTAGTTAAAAAATTCTAATTTCTGATGGAATTTCGTTGAAAATAGTAGCTAAATTAAATATATATATGTATTTAATTTAGCGACTATTATTATTAATATTATTATTATAATATATATATATATATAATCCATATTCCTTAAGGCTACACAGTACCCTTTTACAAAAATTTTTTTTGGAGAAAGATACAATAAAAATAATTTATGTCTTGTATTCAGATTATATTATTAAATTGATTCTGAAAGTAAAAAGTCAGTTTAACTAGCCATTGTTTTGCAATTTTAAAAAATTAAGAATTTTTGAGGTTTTTCAAACTCTTATAAAATGTTCTCTTTTAAAATTTTTAATTCTTTTTAAGTTACTTATGTTTCTGAGATTGTTATGAAAGTTAGAATGGATTTGAAAATCTTTTCCTTTGTTGATTTGTAATAATTATTTTTCTAGAAAAAACTAGAAAAAAAGACGAATTTTTTTTAAAGAATAACTTTAGCATTTTTTTAAAAATAGTTAGAGATCTCAGCCCTAAAACCATACTAACTTTTATAGAACATACGTTTGGGAGTATATGCAAAAATTTCAAGGCTATATGATGAACAGAAAAAAAGCCTTAGGGTTTAGAAAACACTTAAACCTTCAAAACTGAAAGTCGGAGAAAAATGCATTAAAAATTTTTAAAGGCATAAAACAAATACTTAAAATGCCCGTAAAGTTATAATTATTTTTAACATTCTACATTAAAACACTATTTTAATTAAATGTAACTGAAACTATTTTTTTTTAATCCAAAATATATTTTTGCCTAATATTGATAGCATTTGTTACGATGACGGATTATTCAGCTTCATTTTAACCTAATATTTTTACAAAAGTTTTAAAACACAAAGCATTTATGTAAAAAATAATAATGATACTAACTTATGCTAAAAATAGCCAGGTTTGTTCATAAAATTAAATTTTTTTCAGTTTTAAATCGGGCAGTTAAGGGAGTTTTAGTTCTTAAAATACTAAAATATAATACTACAATATGTTTACTATAATGTAGTTTGGTACATCAAGGCAATATTTAGTTTTATCTGTAATACTTGAATTCAGAATACTTGTATTCGGAAGTCTAATTGCAGAATCAGCTGAGGACTGATTTATAGATACATCATTTTCAGTAGTATTCCATCTTTTCGAAATATTGTTTCTCAAAGCAACCTGAGAATGTTTTCGATATGGCATTTTCTCAACAGGAAAAAATTAATCATAAAGCTTTTAAGCCATATAAACTATTTTTTAAAGCAAAATTTTTCCTTGAAATCAACTTTAATTAATTACTAGCTGTATGGCCCGGCGTTGCACGGGCTTTCTGTACTTATATAAGTAAAAGCTTCAGTAAAATATACTTTATCGAAATTTCCTTGGTTTGCTGTTTTAAGAAATATTGTGTATTTTTCAGAATAAAAAAATGCTAACACTCATATGCGCATTGATAAAATAAAAGCAAAGCATGACAAATGAAATTGATAAAAGTGTCGTACTTTATTTTTCTTAACATTTAAAACAACCTTTTTTAAAAAAATTAAAGATGCTCAGTTTTATTATATTTTTCAAAAACAATATATGATTAATTGTGTTATATTCATTATTTTACATATGTGTGTAAAATAAATTTAACATTCAAGAAATATTTTAATAAACGAAAAGCACAGTTTTTTTTAAGGAAACCGTAATTTTTAAGTAATTTTTTCAATCTTTGTACAGATTACAAGAATTGATAAAATATCTTAAAAATTACGGCTTTTTTTTAAAAAAAAATTGCGCTTTTCGTTTTCCTACCTTTTTCCGAGAAATATTTAAGCATTATTTTTGTTACATTTTTTGTTTAAAAAATTACCGTTGTTTGCAATCTATATATGAAGTTTAAAGGCATAAAAAATCATTTTCATATAAACAAATGGATATTGATTCATTTTAGAAAAAAAATCTTAAATTATGTAAAGTATCATTATTTTTCAAAAAAAAGAAAAAAGAAAGAAAAAAACTGCATTGTGACGAAATAAATTATCTTTCCAATTACAAACTTGCTGGCGAAGTTATTAAATGCGCGAATAAAATTTGGAACATTTCTTATAAAACCAAATTTAAACTTTAGTTCCGAACCAGAGTACTATCGTCTGGGAAGAAGCGCCTTTACCGATTGCGCCGCGACTCCTTGGGAGCAAGGCAGAGAAAAGGCTTTCAAAAATAAAAGAAAGAAATGTTGAATTTCGCATTGCGTTATTTAATAAAGTTAAAAAAAAATTTCAGGCTTTATTTTTAAGTTAATGCATTCAAACTTCGTATATCGATTGCAAACAACGGTAATTTTTAAACAAAAACTTTTAAAAAATAATGCTTATATATTTCTCGCAAAAAGGGAAAAAACGAGAGAAAAACACATTTTTTTTAAAACCGTAATTTTTAAGATATTTTATCAATCTTTGTACAGATTACGTATATCATTCCACACACGGAAAATTCTACACACGTGAGATTATTTTAAAAAATAAAAGAGCTATTAAGTATTTAAATAAAATTTTGAGTGTTATTTTAAAAATCGTAAAAAGAAAACAGTTTTTGACATTAAATTTTTAAAATGACTGAGTCTAAAAGAGAAAAGCATGAACTTTTTTATTGTAAAATATTTTTTTCATTAGCGCGATAGAAAATGCAAGCGGAACGATTTAGAAATCATACTCATAAAAACGTATCGATTTCAACTCATTTTAAAAAATCGTAAAAAATACAAAATATAATTATTTTGTAAAATAATTTATAGCATATCGTGGCAAAGTAACTGATCTTTACGAAAAGAAGTTCCGAATTTTCGAACTTGTCCCCTAGTGGAGAAACATGATACTAATTATGCGTTTTAAGGTTTTTAATTAATATCTTTTTAACTAATAAGAATATTCAAATATACATGGTCAAAACGGATTCCTCGGATCATTCCCAAAATTTTGGTACCTTCGGCGAGTTTCTGCGTCGTGCGGTTCGTGAGAATATAGGGACGCATAGATAGATACGTTTGTTTACCTACGAATTTTAATAGTATAGATAAGAATTCAAAAAAACTCAAAACATAATCAAGCAGAATAGATTTTAGTAATAAAAATTAGAATTAATAAACATTTCACACTAAAAGAGTTGATTGTGCCCAAAAATATTGTTAATTAATTCAATTTAAGAGTTGAAAAATGTTTTAAAATGAAACCAAAACCATAGCTCAGAAAACTTCAAATATTTTAAAAACTAATTTGTTAACAGGACTGAAATTTGATGGCAAGCTTCTCAATGATATAAGCCACAAGAAAATGCAAAATGCAAAAAAAAAAAAAAAACAAAAAAAAACAGTTACTATAAAATTTGTTGGGTGCTGTGTAGCCTTAATGTGTTTCGTCATTTCATTTTTGAAGTTGAATATTTATAAAAATATATGAATAGCGTCTGAATTTTTCTACGAACCATTTAATATTTTTCTTGCATCACCGGCTGTCGACTACTGATCTAGATTGTTAACTACATTTTTAAATGACTTTTTAATTATGTCAGGTTTAATTTAACACATTCCATATTTTTTATCACACATCAAAAAACTATTTCCAAACTTCAAAATATAAGAGCATTGCACAAGTACATTTTAGGTTTCTTCGTATAAAAAAAAGGTACGCGTTGTTGAATTTTTACTGTAGTAAAATAGCACTGTTAAGGAGAGGCACTTCCATTTAGAAGAAGTTTTGTGGCAACAGTCAGTACAAGTATCTTTCTTCGAATGTAAATACGTACTCTAGCGAAATATTATTAGGTGGAATGTTTTCGTGTAGAAATGCTT